GTCACATCGACCCCTCACTCCTCCCCAGGTCCATGCGCTCATCCAAATATGGTCACTTCTGGTTCCAAAAACACAAGATGGCAATGGCCAAAACGCCAAAATTAAGGCTTTAAAACAGTAGCCTGCAATCCAATGGGTGACGTCATGGTGGCTACATTAATTTCTTTTCATACTGTGACTGCTGCTGAATGTGATTCAGAGTTTTTGAACAAACAGCCTACTGAATGTGAAAGTCACAAAAATGACCTGCATGTAGAACTAGGTATAGAGAGAACACTAAGCAAGAGTGCAATGGTGGCATGGAAGTACACTCCTGATCAAAATCTTAAGACCAGTTAAAAAACTGCATGAAATTGCATTTTGCACTGTTGGATCTGAGGAAGGTTCTAAGTAAACCTTCAAAATGCAAAAAGAAGAAATGGGAACAAGAGACCAAAAGTTGCGAGCAAGCAATTTATTGAAAACAACAATTTAACTCAAATAGGCTGTCCATCAGCTGATCAAAAGTTTAAGACCACAGCCTTTGAAAGCCAAAATCTGTGCAAAAATTTGGATTCCATGTCATTTCCTGTCAAGTAACCACACTGGGAAGATCTCTTGATGGCAAAGGCAAAAAAGCTCACCGTCTTTGAACGTGGTAGGATTGTTGAGCTGCATAAACAAGGCCTCTCACAATGTGCCATCGCTGCTGAGGTTGGACGCAGTAAGACAGTCATTTTGCATTTCTTAAAAGATCCTCAAGGTTATGGAACAACAAAATCAAGTGGTAGACCCCAAAAAATCTCACCAACGCTGAGCCAGAGGATCCGAATGGCTGTCCATCAAGACCCGGGACAATCCTTGTCCCAAATTAAGGCCATTACTGGTGCTGACTGCAGCCCAGAAACCACCAACTTTTGGTCTCTTGTTCCCATTTCTTCTTTTTTGCATTTTGAAGCTCTACTTAGAACCTTCCTAAGATCCAACAGTGCAAAATGCAAATTCATGCAATTTTTTAACTGGTCTTAAGATTTTGATCAGGAGTGTAATTACCAGGTCTAGATTGATTTTAGAAAATAAGTAAAGTCAAGTTGTTATTGCAAGTTATTACAAATGTTAAGACTGCAACTGTTCTGTCATGGCCTCCACCTCTGCTTAGCTGGCAGCTCTCCCTCCTGTTCCCCGTCCCTAATCAGTGGTGTGAGTTTGGTGTGTATGTCGGTGTGCTTGTGCCTCAAGGTAATCAGCTGATCGTGGTCATCTGCTGGTGGCTCACCTACCCATTGTTCTCCCCCTGCTATAAAAGAAGGGCTCAGATCTACATTATACACCATTGTACTTAACTGTGTTAGTGTACTCAGGCCAGTCTCAGTTCTTTGATCCTAAATGTTTACTCTTCTTCAATCTAACCTGTTGTCTCTGTGCCTAATTCTCCGTCACTATTCCACGCCTGGACTGTGTGATGATCACCTGAACTACCTCCCCCCTGGATTCAGATTCAGCCTCTCCATTGTCTATGCCACAGCAGCCTGGAGATCCATGCTCTGATCCACAGAGCCACACCATTCATCCCCCTCTGCTCCCATTCCTACCTGCTGCTCTCTCTTTGGGTAGCTCCGTAGTGTTTTTATTGCATGCATTAACTGCATAGTGTTTTCTTACTGTTGTTTCATGATGACGAATATTTTCTCTGTACCAGTCCAGCTAAGGTTCGTGTGTTTAACCCTGTTGCCCTTTTTGTACTTATTTTCCTAGGATCATTCCTTTAAACTCCTGTAATATAAGGTATTATCAGTTATTGTAATTTTTTTGATATATTTGTGTGCCACGTCTTTGGTATTTCCCGTGACATGCTCACACAAGAAATGATTTGGCTTATGTGTTTAGTCCTTCAGATAGGATGTAGATCTACCACACTTTTACTTGTGATTTGAGCTGCTAATTAAATTTTATGCGTTATTTAATCTTTTTCTTTCCTTCAATTTTCTACGGGGTGATCACATTATGTGGAGCTAATTTCTGTACAAGATTAGCTTTAAGTGTTTATCTTTACGTGCTAGTGGTCCTCTTGCAATGTGAGGTCAACTGTGAGTATGGATGTTAGATGTTCTGTGTCTTGTAACTAAAGCCTTGTTAGGATTGACTTCCTCCTCCTATAGGCAATGTGGGGAAAAAAATTGTCATCTGCCCTCAGTCTCCGGTTGTATACAATAGTTTCATTCTTTAGTCAGCCAGCAACCAATCAGCAGGCCTACTCTACTGCTGACAAGGCAGTAGTTGAATAACTTGGTGAATGTTTTAGTAATAATTATATAAAAACACATTTTAAAAATAAAAAATAAAGAAAAACCACAAAAATTCCATGGGACCAGCTTATCAGATGTTAACATTTTCAAGTTTCCCAACTTTTCCTATGACAATTGAAAAGTGGGGGGTTTATTTGGTAATATTAACTGACAATGAAATTGGTCAATTACCAAAGAAATGTCTGAACTATAAAAAAAATAATAATGAAAATACTGAGGTCTTCCTATGATAGAATAATACAACCTCACTGTAGTACTTTTTGTTGTTTTTTTGTGTCAAGTAGTTGTCAAACAAAATAAAGTAAATTGATAAAACAAAACTTTATAATAAATGTATTCAATATGAACAACTAAAGAATTTGAGACAGCTGATATTTTTCATTGATACTTTAAAAAAAAAAAAATTTGCTGATGTTTGGTAGACGCAGGTGTTACTCACCTGGATGATGTCCCCAGAGCTGTTATCAGAGCTTGCAGGAGCCCAGCAATGAAGATAAAGGGGTTCTGCCGAGTGATGACAAAATAAAGAGTGGGCAGAATAAGAATGGCATGGATCATCAAGCCAATGATGACTGTAATGGTATACATGCCCAGCTGGCCACCCATCTGTGTTAGATCGTCCATCTCCACAATCTTTCCTGCAATTAGGAACAGGATACCAATGGGAGCATACCTGAGAGGAGCAGAGGAACAGCAAATTATTGCAGATAAGTATGATGGCAGCGTTTGTTCAAAACAACTCCTAGTGAAGTCACACAAGTCTTACCACATAATGATGGCAACCAGGCGCATGATGGCTTCATTGAGGCTGTCAAAGAAGTCCCTCAGGAGCTGGCCCTGCTCCTTCATGTTGCCAATTATTAGCCCAAAGCACATGGAAAAGACCACCAACCCAAGAGCATTGACCCCATTCACCTGACCTGGCACTGGGATCATCTCCTCCCTGGAGATCTCCATGACCTCCTGGGTGCCATTGGTTGAGTTGAAGAGGGTGTCATTCACTGTCACCGTCACATGGACTACTCGCTTTGCGTATTTGGTTTTAAACTGGAGAATGAGAGCATTAAAAGATGGGGGTTATAGTAGAAGAGTTTGATACAGATGAAACAGATCACTGTGATATGTTTAACCTTCAGAATCCAATAATAGTAGTGGAAAGTAATAGGTTGATACAATGTTGGCTTATCATTAGCTGTGGGGATAGGGGCAAACATTTTCTAGTAGTTTCATGAGACATCTAACTCTTTGTGAAGTCACACCATCAGGGGTCCGTTTCACAAAGCAGGTTTAATGAAAACTCTGAGTCTTTTAACCCTGAAACGAGAGAAGCTCTGAGTTTTCTGTATAACAAAGGGAGGTAACTCAAACCAGAGAAAGAGAGGTAACTCTAGCCTGTTTCACAGAGAGAGCTAACCTAAGACCTTGGTCAGTTACCGTAGTAACAGACTCTATGAACCTAACCTGGTCAGGACCAGGTTTTTCTCAGGGAACTTTGAGTTTCTCTCTGTCTCTGCCCTCTTTCAGCCACACAGGCCATTTGATTTCATCATTCATTCAGTCAGCAGGCGAGTTTTGGGGTAGCCTAGTTCTGCCGTCTGTCAAAAATCATTTAAAAAATCAGTGAGTAAACGTAGTCATGCTCTCACATCCCAGCAGATATTATGTGTTGCTATGCGTTTCTTTGGAAATGGTAGTTTTTTGTACAACGTCGGAGATGCAGAGCACTTGAGTAAGTCAACTGTAGGCAAGGCCATCAGAAAAGTGTGCCTCGCCCTGAAACGGCTTTTACCGTCTTTGTCATTTTCCCTGGACGTAAACCTGTCAGAGCCATAAAGGAGGAGTTCCACAGGATTGCAGGTGAATGACGTAGAGATCTGTTCAATTAATTTTAAATTATATTCTGTTAATGACATTGTGCTGCAACCTCAGACTTGAACAATATTTTTATATTCCATCTTAAGCTGCTGCCAAGTGTGCTTCTACCCCACGGGATTGCACCTAAATGAAATAAATTAATAGGCTACCATTCCAGCAGTTCTCCTGTAATGTTATTGTGATTGCAAAGGACAACATTTAAACGTATGCATTGACCCGAGCAGCAATGTTCTTCTGTTTTGCAGCTGCAGCAGTGTTGCACTTCTTTTTAAAAACGTGTTCAAACTCGACATATGAGCGCATTAAGATTTCCAGTTCTAGTGGGATGAAAAACTCAGCCCTCTGCCTCCCCGTTGCCATGGTGACTCGTCGAATCGGGGCTCCATTGATGCTGGTTTTTTATAGTTGTTGTGCATGTGCTTAACTCCAGGTGAAACTACTCCGAGTTGATTAAACTAACTCAAATCCACTGTTCTGGAACCGGAAACTCAGAGTTTCCTATCTCAGAGTTGATCAACTCAGAGTTCAGGATTAGACTCAGAGTTTGTTGAACCTGCATCGTGAAACAGACCCCTGAACAAAATGTCCACTTGATCAACACAAAACCAATGTCTGGACTTTCAGAGATGTGTCTGTGGTTATTCATGGCACCCTGAGGATGACTCTGAATGTTTTGGTGGCCCAAAAAAAACTTTCCTTTAGCACCACTCTTGGAGGTCAACCGCTTCGTTGTTTTCCACAAGAGATTATGGATTGTGCTGTGGATATTTCAGATTCACTGTCTAGGGATCATTAATTAGTGGCCACAAGATATCGACATAGTCACATTGGGTTTGTACTAATTTTAGATGCATACTGAGGTAGGGTTTGGGCCTTATGTAAATATTAATGATTCCAGCACATACTTAGTTGTATGTAATGAATAATGTATATTTCTCTTGAATTATGTGATGTTTTTGTTCAATACATATAATGAATCAATTAATACAGTGTTATCTGTCTAATAGACTAATTTCAGTCTCCATACTTTCAAATGTACAAATTGAATCTCGAAAACTAGCAAGATATTGGTTCTTGATGATTACATAACTGATGCTAGTTAAATTAGCCTTGGTGTAGCTAAAGTCATTATTATGGTGAAAATGACATGAGATGTTTGAGTCTCATATGTTTTTAAGACACTAAATTGCTCAGCACAGCTCAGGTAACATTATGTCTCTGAACATCGCGGTGCTCACTCATTTGTGAAGGAACATCATTCGCAGAGTTGAGTGCTTGAGCCCGCTCTATGATTTGTTTTGCAGATACATTTTTGTCAATATACATCCCTCATTGCCACTTTTTTCTGTCAGTTAATGTCAGTGTTATCAGATTGTTCTGGTGTTAGCTCAGATAAAACATAAAGCCCAGAATGGGTAAATATGTAGTTTCTCAGGAAGTCTGAACTGTGGACATCGTGGAGAGGACAAATGGTCAAGTGTCTACACCTCACTGTTTAAAAGTATGTGTGAACAAGAGGAAGGGGGAGAGAGTGAGAGAAAGGTTAGAGAAGGGAGATGAAAAAAGACAAATAGACAGTTCTGGTACTAAGACAATGGGTGTGGGTTCAAGTTGGGTTCAGGGCTGGGGCCTACATCCATCAGGCCAGGTCAGTCTTTGGCCGAGATTTCAGGCCTCTTGAAATATTCTACTCACTCCCTACCCTCCAACACATCATCTGACAAAAAATACTATTTGCGCACGAGAAAAGCCCATTCATGATCTTCAGGGGATAAACTCTACGCTGCTTATTAAATACGACGTGATCTCAGACAGACCAGTACACTTATGCTCCCAGTGGGCTATAATTAAAGCCGTGTCCACCCTGTCTGCGCAGCACATTGTGTTCCATCTGTACCTACACAGGAGGCGTTCAGGCACAGTAGTGAACCATAGTTTGTCTGAGTAGCGTATAAACATGTATGAAAAATAAAATTAAACAAACAAATACACGTGAAGCATAAAAATATGTTCTGACTCATGCTTGTAGCGTGACTAAAAATTGATCTGTTACGCTGCCTGTGTAGAAAGTTGGACTGAATGAAACAAGAGCTTTTCTGTTCCACCAGACATGTGAGCGGGACGACTGAACAACGAGGCTGAAGCTCTCTGCGTCAGCATGCTGTAATCAAGAAACACTTTAGTATTTTGCTGCTTGTTGGTCTAAACAGCTCCAGTGTCTGCAATACAAAAAAAGTCTGAGTATTACAGAAAATAACTTAGTTTTTTTGTAGAAGTCAAATTACAGACACTATTTATAATTTAACAACTCAACAGTTATATTCAGTTTTATGAAATGCCATATTAATTTATTTATACCATGTTTTTTCCCTTTCCTAAATCACATACTAATTTACACAACATGACGATAATTATCTGTAATTAAATGTATTTCTCTTTCTATAAAGGTTCATGCCCACGCTATCAATGTGGGGGTTTTTTGTTGTAATTTTAAAGTTATATTTAAAGTTATATTTATGTTTACTTACAAATTAAGCAAGCTTTTTGTTTGTTTGTTTGTTTGTTTGTTTTAAAGTGTGCACTTGGTGACATTTTAACACCTCATGGATACAAAGTCGTGACCATTTGTGACGTATTAGTTGGAAAGCTCACCTGCTGTGTGCAGGCTTGGACCAAGTTTGGTGGGAACATATTTCTGAAATGAGAAGACACAGTGATTTAGAGATGGCGTTGGTGAGGTACAGTCACACTTTAAGAATATCATTGTTATTATGGGCAGGCTACCTGATCAGATCTAAGAAGGCATCAGCAGGACTGACTTGCTCTATGGTCTGCTGCTTTCCAAACTCATCTTTTGATCCTTTTCCTGGGTGGATGATTAGCACGATTATGATACCGATGAAGACGGCAATAAAGGTCGTAGTCATGTAGTAAATCACAGCTCTCATTCCCATCTTTCCTGAAGCTTTGCTGTCCAAAGCTGCCATTCCTAATGGAGAGAGGAGTGGAAATGCTGTTAAGATTGGAGCATGAAGACAAATAACACTCCTCTTTATAAAGGACAGTTACTTCAGAACCAATATTTGTGGTGAGGTCCATTAGTTTTAATCAGTATGCAGACTATGAATCTGTCACGTAACAATGTGTCATGTGGTTGTTTACCACCACCTACCACAGTGGTGTACATAAGTCTCAGGGACTTTAGATGTTTAGATTCACATCCATCACAGAACACAATCAGGGACAAATCTGATTGTTTCCAATTTTTTTCTGCAGCAGGACAAAGACTCCAGACATTCCGACACAGTCATAGAGAGTGATATTCAGCCACAAAACAAACAACAAGTCCTGCAAATGATAGCCTGAACTTCACAGAGCAAACATCATGAAGAGACAGAAGATACTGAGACAGACTAAAATTCTCCAAGATATTTAGAGCACCCTGCCTGTCAAGTACCTTAAAAAACAATGTGTAGGTATTTTAAGGGAGAAGGATGCTCACACTGAATGTTGTTTGAGCGTATGGACAATAGTGGAGTTTCATGGATTAGCATTAAATAGTTCAAACACCAACTCTGCATGTAGAGTAGAAAAGCATTGTTGCACTTCCAATCACACCCAACTGTGATGTAGAGTTGCACTGGAACTAGAAGAACTACATTGCATTGTGAAGGGGAAGGAAAGAGGACACAGAAAATGTAAGATGCTGCACGAGTATGATTTTCATTTTCAGTGCAGAGTTAGTCACTCCTAGCACATATTCCCCAACACAAGTGGATCTCAAACTTTGGCATGCCCTTCTTTAGAAATTGAAAAAGGTCACCACACACACACACACACACACACACACAGAGTTTTTATCAGTAATTAACTGGTGCTAGCAGAATTCTTTTTGGCATATTTTAACTCAAGTGTTAAGGAAACTAGACTCCTGCTCTTCTTCCTGACTTAGTTTTTGGACTTTAGAAAATCTAAAGTCTGAAAATCCATCCATCTATCCATTTCCTATACACCGTATTACCTTCTGTAGGGTTGCGGTGGGAGCTGTAGTCTGTCCCTGCTGACTCAGGGCGAAGGCAGGGTTCATCTTCACCAGTCCATCACAGGGAAGACATTGTGACAGCAGACAACCAAGCACACTCACATTCACACCTACAGACAATTTAGAATAACCAATTAACCTCAGCAAGTCTTTAGACTATGGGAGGAAGCTGGAGCACCCAGAGAGAACCCATGCAGGCACAGGAGAAACATACAAACCCTACAAAGAAAGCCCCTACATTGAGATTCAAACCCAGGACCTTCTAGCTGTGAGGCGACACTGCCAACTATTCCCCTACTCTACCACCCAGTCTGAAAAATCTAATCATGGACCTGGAAAGTGATTGGATCAGTCAGGTGTAAACACAATGTAGTCTGTACAGTGTAACCACATTCTGAAGAAAAAGATCCACCCAGCATGTTGAAAGGTCACCTAACTCCATGTCTTCCGGCTAACTTAAGCAAGCCTGACCAAAGCTACAGATAGTAGCACCGATGTGAGCCTGACTATTGTAAGTACAGCAGAGCGTCACGGGATGTACTGAACAAATTCAGATATTGAGAGCAGATGACCAGAACCTACAGACTGAATGTCAGCATGCAGATAACATATCCAGGTACAGGTCACATGGTTTAAAGGTACAGGGTTTATATAGTTTAAATTGAGTGTCAAGTGTGTTTTTTTAAATCTCAAAACAACTAATCAAACCTGTGACTGGCATTTTCTTCTGCAAAAATAAGTTGATACTGTAAAACTGGAGCTCTTTCTTTCTGTCTCCTCTGTAAGTGAATCAGTGGGAGTCTCTTCATCACTTGGTGGGGGGTGAGGCTGGCCCTCTCACTGATTACAGGCTTGTAAGGATGACCTCTGTCTGAACCCCCTCTACTGAGTCAATATACCTATTTGAGAGACTGAGGATTTTTCTCACAATGTAAAAAATTACATAGCCCCACTTTTCCTGTTATGTATTGTCTTTATATTCAAGTTACAGAAATAAGCTTCCCAAATCTATACAATACACAAGGTAAGGTATTTTCAGAATCCTCAAAAACTCCTCTAACCTTTCAGATGTAAAACTATCCTGTCTTATGCATGATTTCTTACCCAAATTTCTTACTGTATCTCCTTTCTTAATTCAGATGTGACCCATCTGCACAGAATCTGCACAAAATTCCACCTTGGGCTATATCCGAAATACCGCTCGAATTACCCTTCATATCGCTGTCAAATACCGTCAGGAGCAATGTGACTGATGTCGTGCAAATGGGTCACATATAGCATAAAGCCAAATTTAAATTAGTTGTTCTGTTCATAACTGTTGATGGTACTTCGTGATATTTTATATTTCTGCACAAAATAACATGTTAACATTTTGTTTGTGTTTTAATGAAAAGAGCAAGGATGTGACATATCAGGCTATCTGGATAAAGAAATACATTTGCAAAAGTGTTAGACAATATTATGTTTTAGTCCAAGTGGGCTTCATGTTATTGAATTTCTGTCTGTTCAAACAATAGCCACAAAGCCTTCAGGGAACAGCCTCATCAATACTAAAATAACAATAAAATCAGGTTAGATAAGAGAAATAAAGTAGAATTTAGCTTTAACGCTTCTTGGATGCATGTAGTTGAAGCCAGATTACAGCAGCTGTGCCCATTAGAGCTACTTTGTCAGGTTTGCTTTTGTTATTGACTGTCGCCTTTTTGTTTCTGATTCACTGACACCGCAGAGGTGCAGAGATGAAAACATGATTTCTGAGGATAAACTGATCAAGAGCAGTGAGAGATAGTACAGTTTAATATCTACTGCATTCATAACAAATGAAGACTATAAATCGACTGCTGACATGTGTGAATGTGATGTACCTGTTATTAGACTGGAGATCAGTAAAGGCAGGACAAGCATCTGAAGCATCCTCATCAGCAGCTCTCCAGGGAAAGAGAAGTACTTTACTTCTCGATAGGTCATCTTATAGGGGCGCAGCGCGAATCCAAGAACAATACCTGCAGAGACAGAAACAGAAAGTATGGGCACTGCATTGACAAGGCTCTGTGTGGAGGAACTCTGAGATGAGTCCACTTAGCTTGCAGAGATATACACACCTATGACAACCGCTCCGACTGTAAAGAGCACAAAGGCATTCTTCTTGAGGAAGGCCTGGACGTCTTCTTTGGAGATCTCCTCCACTTTCCTCTTGGCCTTCATAGTGCGTATGTGAATACTTTCTCTGATGCGCTGCATCCTGCTAGAAATAAGGAAAGTGTAGAGAAATGTCAGCAGCCAGTGAATTCATGTATGTGTGGGGATCTTGTACGTGTAAGTATCTTTTTCCTGTTGCCTTATATTAACTTCGGCGTAACTTTAAAATGTATTTTTGCATTTTAATATTGTACTATAGAAGAAAAAACTGTCAGGCTGCAACCGGCTATTTTTGTCCTCAACAATATGCAGTATATTACAAATGTCTGGTGTATAAAAGAGCAGCAGAAATGGTTGTCGAAAATAGTGAAATATTCAACACTATTACACCCTGATGTTGTGTAACCAACAGTCAAAAACCAAAAGATGTGCTGTCATTGGAAACAGAGGAAGTAGCACAAGTTCACATTTAAGATCTTTTTTTGGCATTAAAAACAACTAAATGAGCCTTCAAAAACTGCTTTGACTCTCCTATTGATCACTCAATCATTCAGCTGGTTGGTTTCTAGGTTGCTGGTGAGATAATAATAGTGCCATGTAGCGTGCTGAGGTTCAGCAGGGGTTCAGCAACAACTCTTTTTCCCGGAGCCCCTTAGGAGATTAATCCAGCCATGAGGATGAGAACTTTGGATTTAGTTCTTCATCTCCTCCACTGAAGTCATCGTATTTATGGATCTTTTTATTGCAAGCAAATTTTGCTGACATTGATGTGTTTGGAGAAAAATAGAACCTGGTTTTTAATAGAAAAACAAAAATTAAAAATTTAATTCATTCAGCAGTATTTTCCAATACATCTTAACCACATATGAAGCCAAAACTCATAAGATTTTTTCCCCCCAAAATTACAATGAAATACATTTTCACTTTTCGGTTTAAAAATGTATTAAAAAGTTTATCTCTGAACATCGTCAAAAGTTTTATACAAAATACCCTTGTTATTATCCTTCATCATATCTCAGCATGAAGACTGTTCAAGGAAACAAAGTGGGGATTTCAGACATTTTAAGAAGCCTCAGAATACTTTCAAATAAAGATTTATAAATGCACTGTAGCTGTAGAC